AGGTGGTCTGATGTTGAGACAGAGGCAAAGGGCTATCATTAGCCACACCCACAGTCCATCACTGAAAAGCAGACTGACAAAGAAATCTCTACCAATAAAGCCCATAATCTAAACTACAAAACAAACAAACAAAAACAATAGAAACATGAGACAACACTGCAACAAATTACTTCCGCAAACTCCAAAATCCCCAAAGGGGATCCACTAGTAAGAAGTAAAAGAAAAACCACAAAGCAGATCTACTTAAATAGATAACTGAGATTAAAAACAGGTTAATAAGGTATGTGATAGTTAATAAGGTAGTTAAGCAGATATAACTAAACAGATAACAGACATAATATTCAAAGCCATCAGAGAACTTCTAAAAAGATACTATTAAAAAGCTAAATGAGAAAATTCTAGCAAGATGGCAGAGTGGTAAACAGAGAAAGAGCCTCTCCAAGAGACACTGGAATATAGAAAAGTGGGGAAGATGTGAAGGAGAGAAGTGAGTCCTATATACCCAGGAAGGCTCTGAGACTTGAACTGAAGCCCACTGAGAGAGTGCAGAGAAACTTCAGGAAGCAGGTAGCTTGGCAGCACCTTCTCCCTGAGATGGGACACCCTGTGAGAGGAGTGGATCAAATGGCAAATGCTGGCAACCCCAGAAGCCTCTACAGAGAGATGTAGCACTGGAAGGGAGCAGTAGTTGGACCAGGGGCTCAGTCATCCTGTGTGAGATGGCAACTGGCTGGGAACCATTTTGAAGGGAGTTGAGCTCAGAACTGCTACAGCTCCATCTAGCAGCTACCAGCTGGGCTCAGACCCCTGGTGGGTGAGATGAGGGGTGCAGGTGACAAGAAGATACAGGCTCACTGAGACCATTACCCCACTGAAAAGCTACTACTGGCTTGCTGGGATAAATCAGCATGGATCGCAATGCTGTCCTACGCACTAACAGTGACAGCAAAGACAAACCTGGAAGTGGACTTTTTTCTTTTCTTCTCTCATTGTTTTTGTTGTTACTGTTTTGTTTTCTCCATTGTTTGATCTTGTTTTTATATGTGTGAGTGTGGTTTCTAGCCTCTTTGTGGTTCTGTTCTGTTCTTTTTAGCTCATTTTTCTCTCCCTCCAGTCTTCTAAAGCAGTTTCCCAAAGTTAGCCTGATTCCCCTTTGTCCTCTAGCCTTACTTCTAATCTCATCCTCCTCTTCCACATCTCTACTTTCTCTCTAACCCACTTTAAAATTTTCACTCCTGAGGGTAAAACTAACATATTAAGGTCTTGTGTACTGCACTAAATTTTTGGTTTTAATTTTGTTACATAACCACAAATCTAGTTCATTGGTTTAAAGATGGCAAATTTATGGTTACCTCATTTGTCATTTTTCTATGCCGTGTTTTATGTTATTGTCATTAGTCCCATATAGCCAAAAGTGACATAATTTTTCTAAATAACTGTTTTTCCTGGGATTATAAACCTGAGATTGAGGGTCTCAATCTCTAAAGGCCACAGAATATACTGTGGGTCAGTAACAATGAATTAGGGGATGGGCCAAACAGGCAGCAACTTCTCATCCCCAACAAATTGAAGAGGTAGGATCTTCCAGCAGACTCACAGCAACACCTGGAAGATAACTACGTGAAGCAGTCATACACAGGTATTTCTCAGAAGAAACACAATGGTCAATAAATACATGAATGGTCAAGCAATGGCAGTGACTCATTCTCATGTCTGACACTGACAAAATGATGTACAAAGGGCGGTACAGGGCTACAGGATAAATCCTAAGAGTACTTGGCTGACCTTATCAGATACAAAAGTTACATTTCTTGTTCTATAGGTCTTGCTATATCTCGGTCTTAACCATCCAGCAGAAAAGTATAAAAACGAGGTATATAAAGTAAATCCATATTACTACGATGAGCTATAAAAGGCTCAAGTCAATAACTTCTGAAGATAACCCACTAATATTATAGACTGCTAGACAGTGTTAGATTGCTTAATTAAATTCAAATACCTATAGTATTTAGATGCCAAGAGAATATTCACCTCTGACACGACAAAAAAAAAAAAGATACAAAGGAAAGATCATTTTGTATTTATATATACAAAATAATAAGGATAGGTTTATAGCTACTTTCACTTAATTCAATGAGAAGAGAGAGATGTACTAACAGTGTTTGGACAGAATATCCTGTCTGCTTCTTGTGCTATGGATAACCACTAAGAAGATAACAATATACAATGTACTGATTATCAAAACTGTCCTATTAATCAGCTGTGAAACAGTCTCATTCGTATTTATTTCTCAATAAAAAAATAAATAAATAAATGAAAAAATGTTCAAAATTTCGGGTCATTAGAGAAATGAAAATTAAAACACTGAGATTCCACCTTACTCCAAAATGAACGGCTATCACCAAGAAATTAAGTAATCAGAAATACTACAGCTCCTAAGGGGAAAAAGAACCCTCCTACATGGTTGAAGGAAATGTAAACTAGTATAACCAAGGAAATTGGTGCGGAGAATCCTCAAAAAATTAAAACAAGAAATTTCATCTGCTTCAACTATTCCCCTTCTAAGTATCTTCCAAAATGAGTTAAAGACATTGTATTACAGCATATACCTTTATTTGTAGCAGCACAATACACAATAGCTGTATCCTGGAAGTACTATATGTCCATCAACAGATGAATAAAGAAAATATGGTATTTATATACTATGGTATACTACTCTGCCCAAAGAACATGAATTTGAGTCATTTGTAGGAAAATGGATGCACTTTGAGACCATAATGCCATGTGAAATAAATGAGATACAGAAGCTTAACTATCACATAGTTTCTCTTATGTGGGACACAAAAATAGAGCAAAATAAAAGGATACTGGAAAATAAGATAGATCTCTCACATATGGGAAGGGAACCAAAATATGAAGAGAGTGGAGAGGGAGGAAAGGGCAGAGGGATTAAAAAAAAAAAAAAAAAGAATTAAGATACGTTATATACATGTATCAACTTCCAGAAGGAAAGTGGTCATTATGTATTACAAACATGTACTTATTAAAAAAAAAAAAAAAAAGAATTAAGATACGTTATATACATGTATCAACTTCCAGAAGGAAAGTGGTCATTATGTATTACAAACATGTACTTATTAAAAAAAAAAAAAAAAAGAATTAAGATACGTTATATACATGTATCAACTTCCAGAAGGAAAGTGGTCATTATGTATTACAAACATGTACTTATTAAAAAAAAAAAAAAAAAGAATTAAGATACGTTATATACATGTATCAACTTCCAGAAGGAAAGTGGTCATTATGTATTACAAACATGTACTTATTAAAAAAAAAACAAAAAAAAACAATATCAAAGAAACCTTTAAAAAGTGAAGTAACAGGAGAGCTCCCAGCTACCCTGTGCCGGAGGGACCTACTACTGGTCCCAGCCCAGGCGCTGAGTGGGTGAGACCCTCTTCCACCCCTTGGGACGCCCTCCACCACTCCGCAGCACCGCCCCCACCCCGCCCACCGAGTACGAATTTCAGCCCCTATCCGGGAACAACCAGAACCAGTCCTAGCCCAGGCCCTGTGAGTGTGTTGGAGACCTTCCAGCAACCCTGCACCGGCGAGACCTAGTACTGGTCCCAGCCCAGGTGCAGCGTGGGTGAGACCCTCTTACACTCCCTTAGGATGCCCTGCCCCACCAATCCACAGCACCTCCCCCACCCAGCCTGGCCAGTAGGAATTTCTGCCGCGTTTCAGGAATCCCCAGACCCAGTCCTAGCCCAGGCCCGGTGAGTGTGTGGGAGAGCTGCCTCTCCCCCCTACTCCACCTTGTCCCCTCCAGGCTCAGCTCAGGCCAGGCATACAGACCTGGGGTGAAACCCTGCAGCTGCAATCCATGCAGAGAGTGTAGAGGATAGAACCACCCAGCTAGTCCAGGAGCAGAAAATCTTGCCAGAGGGGCAAAACAGGTTCACCCCCAAGGGCAGCAGCAGGAAGGAGCTGAGCACAGAAGCCAGACCCAAACCAGGCATAGCTGGATAAATCCAAACTTTGTAGATCTGCACCTGAACTTCAGTACCTGCTAAGGGTGTAACTACAACAACTCATTGGCCAAGCATTGGCCGTGACTCATCCACATGGCTGACACTGACAAAGGTTCTACAATGTGAGGTACAGGATCTCAGGATAAATCCTGAGGGCATTTCACTGACCTTCTCAGACCAAAAAGCTACAACTCTTGTTGCACAGGTCCTGCTTT